GAGCAACAAGGATGTGGATTTACTGAAATTCAAAACTTAGTGAAGAATGTATATTGTTTGTCATCCCGAACTCAAATCTTTAATGTAGGCGTGTTCACATTAGCGTGTTCATAGCTATCGTACCCCGACTTCTTCATGAAGATTCGGGTTCACCATCCCTTCCAGTTTATACTAAGTGGAATTCCCTAATAAAGTTACCAGATTATCTTAAAGTTTTCCCAGCTCAGTTGCTAACATTTCTTGAGTAATAAACCCAGGGTTATGAACACGACCTCTGTTCCTTGTTCTTCCCCTTCTACGGCTTGACGTTGAACTTTCTTGTATTGACATTTACTGTTTCGTATGAATTTCTTGTTGAACACCTCTTCCTCTTCCTCGGCCCCGACCTCGACTTCTTGTTTCTATGGTTTTTAATTATGTAATCTAATTTAAACTATAAAAAGATAAAATTTACTATAAATTAAAAACCTATTTCCTATCAACTGTTTTTATTTTATCTCTTATTTTCTTTCTCCTCTATCCATAACATACATATATATATATGTAAATAATTAGTACTATTATAGTTTGTGAATAAAGACTTATTTGTTAGCAACTTAATGAGCTTGCTATATATGACTGTTTGGTAGTGACTTATTTAGTAAGTTTCTATGATGAATTTTATGTAGAAAGCCAAGTTTTTTCAAATTTACGTCTCAATTAAAAAACATTTTCATTTCATCTACGAAAAACTCTTCCAAACAAAAACCTTATCAATCTATACAAACACACAAAAGCATCTTTATTAATAAAAGACTTAATAAAAAATCAACCAAACAAGCCCTACATCTATGAAATCGGGCATAACTTGTTAACATATTGTGAACACCAACTAAATCTAAACCTACAACTTGTGATCATATCATGTGAACACCTTTGTAACAAATTCTTAAGAATGTTTAATTTTGTGCACAATGTGTTCTTAAAGAATTGCGTTAATTTTTATTTAATAAATAATTATAATTATCTCATTAATTATCTTAAATTAATGTCATATGATAATTTTAAGCATCTTATAAATTTGAAGTTTTTAATATATTAAGCCCTTTTATACATAAAGGTTTATTGTTGAGACTTGAGTCACATTTTGACAACAAAGAAGGTGGTTTGTGCAAAATGCATAACACGCCTTTCTCTTCATCCAGAGCTGAGATTGAGAAATCCAGATCAAGGTATGACTCTTGTTGCATAAAGTTGAAGAGTTTATAGCGGTGTTGGTTCTGGGTTTAGAGCTTTTAAAACTGGAAAAAGTATTTTACAAAATAGTATGGTTCTAGAAGGATGGAGAAATTGAAGCAGTCTTCTTTTTCTTTTTACTAATAATATTTTCTGCCAAACCCTCAACCATCCATTTCTGTTTCCTTTCCATTTTATAAAGCTTCTCAGGTTGTTCCATAAAGATTAAATTTAAATGTATCCTTTTCTGTTAATTTTCTATTTTCACACATCTTTACATTAAAATTTCTCTTTTCCTTTTTTATATAATTTAATATGATTTTGATCTAAAGAGAGGGGTATATAGCAATTTTAGATCAAAATCAAGTCAAATCATGCATTGAAGTTGTTAAAAAAAGAGGTTTGATGTTGATCAGCATCTCCAATGCAAGGTTCTTATGAAAAGACAATTTTACCCGTAATTACAATGAGAGAGATTTCCTCGTCATATTCAGTGGCGAATTTAGTTAGGAAGGAGTGGGAGGAAGGGACTCCATTAAAAAAATTACTAGGTTTAAAAGTAGTTTTTTTTTTTTTTTTACTTTTCTCTTAGTTCCCCTTGTAAATTTTTACAAGGGACCCTACAACCCTACCCGATCATTGCCGACTCCAAAAAATTCTCTTGAAATCAACCAAAAAACCAAAAAGATCTATTGAAATCAATAAAAAAAACGAAAAAGTCCTTTGAAATTGACAAAAGCACTAAAAAAATCCCTCGAAAGTAACCAAAAAAACTTTAAAAATCTCTTGAACCGTTGTAATCAGGTTAAAAACATATTAGGCGACTTTAC